CTATAGCTTACAACTCAAATTGGAGGACGTCAAGAATCTATTATGAAGCGAACTACATTGGTCGCCAATACTTCCAACATGCCTGTAGCTGCTCGTGAAGCTTCCATTTACACTGGTATGTAAATTTTTGTTCTCCGTGGTGAATCAGTTGAATCACGGCTAATGATTCCAAATCTGAATAGGTATTACTTTGTCGGAATACTTCCGTGATCAGGGTAGCAATGTTGCTATGATGGCTGATTCTACTTCACGGTGGGCTGAGGCTTTGCGTGAAATTTCTGGTCGTCTGGCTGAAATGCCTGCCGGTACATGCAAATAATTCTATTGAGTCTTACTTTCTCATACTGAGTTCAACCGATGTCCACAATAGATTCCGGTTACCCCGCTTACCTCGGTGCTCGACTTGCTTCCTTCTACGAACGTGCCGGTAAAGTTGTCTGTATGGGTAACCCTAAACGTCAAGGAAGTGTTTCGATTGTCGGTGCCGTGTCCCCTCCTGGTGGTGACTTTTCTGATCCTGTCACTGCTGCTACCCTTGGTATTGTACAAGTGTTCTGGGGTTTGGATAAGAAATTGGCTCAGCGTAAACATTTCCCTTCGGTGAATTGGTCTTTGAGTTATTCCAAGTATTTGAAGGCTTTGGATCCATTCTATGAATCCTTCGATGCAGAATTTGTAGCCTTACGTACCAAGTGCCGTGAGATTTTACAGTCGGAAGAAGATTTATCCGAAATCGTACAGTTAGTTGGTAAAGTGAGTATCATACTTATGTTTGCTTCGACTTAATTTCACTTGACTCAAAATTTGTTGTTTCTATTCAGTCTGCTCTTGCTGAAACAGACAAAATCACATTAGAAATTGCAAAGATCATTAAGGACGATTTCCTTCAACAAAACGGTTATTCCGAATACGATCGATACTGTCCATTTTACAAAACTGTGGGAATGTTGCGTAACATGATGTTGTTCTATGACCAAGCTACTCATGCCGTTGAGGTATCTGGCGGTCAGATGACTTGGGCCAGAATTAAAGACAGTATGGGTGATATGTTGTATAAATTGAGTTCGATGAAATTTGAGGTATCTTTCTCATTTTCGTGATTTGTCACTATATTCTAAGTACTTGTACATAATTGTAACCACTATCCGTCCTTTCATAGAATCCATCGGACGGTGAAGCAGTCGTAAAGGAACGATATGAGAAACTGAAGAAAGAAATTGAAGAAAAATTCCGAGCATTGATGGAATAAACGAATAGTTGGAGATATCTCGAAAAGTCAAAGTCACTGGAAAGAACAAAGAATTGTTAAGAACCATATGCATACTGTATTTAGGATTGGAGCTTGTCCTCTGGACATCCTTCTTTTTTGCCGCTTTCTATGATATTGTATATTCATTGATCACTTCGTGGCTGCAATAAATATTCATTGCGATGTGCTGAATTGACTTGAATCTTAACTGGTCGATTGTCTGCCGGGATGATCGCGCGTAATTGAAGCAATGACGTTATCCAGAAATCCGCCGCACTTTACAATTTGCCTCCGATCCTGTGTAACTGAGGGATTACCAAATTACCACGCCAGCAGTTATAAAAATCTGTTCCCTATCGGATTTCACTAGAGCATTTTTGCCAAAAGGATTGCAACTCTGGCTTTCGTCACATCTCTCTTGAAGCGATCTGGACAACGCATAATGAACCCGAGTTCGTTTTCTTCGCCGAAACCGGAATTTACAGGCCGTCTAGGTATTCTGAAAGAACTTAAACTGTTCAATTTGTGTATCAAAACAATGAATAATGTTATAAACTGAAACCTTGGTCCATTAGGATACGCATGTCTTAATATGTATCTCCGCCAAAAAGACATTTTTTGTTCGCGGACGTGCCGCTTGGCCACCTTGAAAAAGGAGGGAATGGATTACGTGAAGGGTGAGTTCCTCTCAAATTTGCATAAGGCCAGACGATTATGAACGAGCTGACTTGTGGCATACTTTCATTTTATTATTAGATATAGCGATACGAAATGTTAACGATTTGGTTAAGTTGATTCAAGTGTGTAATTTTTGATTGCCATTGTTTCGAAGTGGTTGCGTATTTAATATAGGCTGCACAGTTTTATTAACGTTACTTTATATTTTTCCATACCTCGCTTGATCACATCTAGTGGAACGAAGGTATGTATTCATCAGTATTCACGTCACTCTAGAATTTGTTATATTAATCACACTTCGGCGCCAACACAGAGAATAACATAAAATTCATGCGCATAAGCTCTCAGCTATTTCCATTTGCTTCTCACGAGGAAGTCGGTTACTCTGTCAAATTTGCAGAGAATGAACTAAGAGCGGCAGGTGATCTGGCTAAGAAATACGGGCATCGATTAACGATGCACCCGGGACAATTCGTGCAGTTAGGATCACCAAGAGAAATTGTAATTAAACGGAGTATTTTGGACTTAGAGCGTGAGTTCTTTGCTTCGCTACTGTGATTTTGCATATTGGCGGAGACTCACGGATACGTGTAATAGATCATGCCTCAATTCTAGACACTATGGGATTATCTGCCGATAGTATCATGATAATTCATATGGGAGGTGTCTACGGGGATAAAGCGGCTGCTTTGTCAAGGTTTGAAGAGAATTATTGCAAACTGTCCGACACAGTGAAAAGACGACTGGTACTCGAAAATGACGAAATCAGTTGGAATGTAATGGAGTTGTTACCGCTTTGCGAACGGCTGTCCATACCGTTGGTTTTAGACTGGCACCATGACTGGATCAATCCCTCGGAAGGCTTCCCAGCTGTTGACGTCGTAGATCGTATCAATAATACATGGTATCGCAAAGGTATTAAACCGAAACAACATTATTCCGAACCAAAAACTCCAAATGGAAATATTCACGAGCGAAGGGCTCATAGCAGCAAATGTGAACTATTTCCGCCTGTTGTCGGTGACGTCGACCTGATGATTGAAGCTAAGGATAAGGAACAAGCCGTAAGCCCAATCGTCAAATCTCATACATAAGCGACTTTCTAATATTTTGTTACGTACTAGGTATTTTATTTGTACTACAAATATGGCCTTGTACCTAGAGAATCTTTCAACTTGAAATTTATGCTGCCGTTGGATACCGTGTCGAAGGAGATTATGCAAAAGGAAGGAATATCAACCGATCAAGAAGTGGTTGTGACTGACGTAGATGACGAATGCGATGACCACGAAGCGGACAGTACAAAGAAAAAGAGCAAGAAAAAGAAATCAAAAAGAAAACGGGTAACAAAGCGCACGGACGAAGGAGAGGAAGCGATGGAAGATGATGAAGACAATATTTTGGAGAAAGAAAAGGCACGTCGAAAGAGCGGGAAGCGGAAATCGATGAAAGTGAAACTACCGTTGGAAAAAGAGCAAAAAAACGCAAGTTTTACGGGTAAGAAGCTGGAGTTGTTGCATGTGGAAGCAAAAGAACATCTATCTATAGTTAGCATTGCTGCTGACATTAATCTAAGGCGGAGTCCGAGATTTCGAAAGTGAATGGGTGGGCCATTGGTAGATACGTAGCTGTAGATATCACTGTCGTAATCAATATATTATCATTTCTAATGCTGTTTCTGATAGGTCGAAAGCTGTACAATATATACATCATATGTCCTCGGAATATATCATGAGATTAATGCGGCGGGTTAAAGGTATAAACAGTGTACACCACAAATAGGATCCAGCAGAATATCACTATGAATATGATAATCTGAATGATAAGCAGTGATTAAATTCATTAGTTTATAATGAACAGAGTAATTGAAATTCGGTAGATACAAACCTTTGTGAAAGCACATCCGTCGATTTTCTGATACCTTTGAATGTAAGGTTTGTCAGGCCACAGGGAATACCAAACTGATAATAGATGGTGAGAGGATTACCACGGGAGACTATTATAGTACTCTGTTCTCATCTTGGCAATGTATTCATGACGAAAGTCATCGCTGCGTTGGAGAGGGACATAATTTGCGCTCATCGTGTGTTGTCGGGCTTCGAGTGAATTTTAATGTCGACTCGGGACGGAGAAGGTTACGGCTGCCTAGCAACAAGAACAGGCAATGCACGTGACTCTAAACAGCCCATTCTAATGCCCTTGGATGCATTCACTTGCAACTCCCGAGGACCCTCGACAATGATCGCAAGCCCTGAAAATTTTGACGTAGCAGAGTCAGTGGCATGCGCCAGATATGGCGAGATAGAAGAACTACAAGCATTGATTCAGCAATACCGTAGCACTCACCCTGATGTTGCTGTCCGCACACTTTTAATCTGCAAGGATGACTTTGGCAATACGGCCTTACATATGAGCAGCGCCAATGGGCATACTGGTAAGGATTTCATGCTGATTTACCCGACTTACTTCTATCGGCCCTTACGAGATTGTAGATATCGTGAAGTTCATATTACAATACCTCAGTCCTTTCGACATCAATGAAACCAATAATACTGGTAATACAGCCCTACACTGGTGTTGCCTCAACGGCCAAATAGAGACAGCTGAATTGTTAATTGAGAATGGAGCTGATATCACGGTGAGGAAAATGTCACTTGGGAAACCCTCACTACTCTTATGATCTAACTTGGTATACACATAAAGATAAAAAACGACGCCGGTAGAACAGCATTGTATGAGGCTGAACAGGGTGGTCATTCCAAAATCGTTGACATGATACTCAAAAATATGTCTGTAGACGAGGAAGAGTTAGAAGAGGGTGAGAGCGATCAACTCAATCTGGCTGAAACTGAATTGGAAGAGTCGCCAGAACCGGTAGGGAAATGATGTTAATCAAAATTCCATAGTGAGTTGTATAATACGAGTGGTTTTGTAGTATATATTTCTTTGTCTCCGTAATCGTTAGATATTTGTTCACGCCTGGTTTTGATGCTGAAGACATATCGTTAGGGGTTAGGTCCTAGTGATAATGTGGTTTACAGTCTAGTGATTTATTACAGGCCTGGGGCATCAAGCTCCCGTAGCAAAGTGGTTTAATGCGCCGTGCTTATACATTCTCATGTATGCTGTACATCCGGGTAACGCGGAGGTCGCGAGTTCGAACCTCGCCGGGAGCATTTTATTTTTGTGAGATTTCTATGCTATAATGTTAATGAATCAATATACGAAGTTAATACTTTGTGCAGTTTTGCAGAAAATTCGTCGAGGTTTGGCGTCGTACACCACCGCGCGGCAGAATTACCCATTTTTGAGTATTTTACCCAAACAAGGTCTCCGGAATCACTTTTATTACGTTGCATAAGAGCTTGGCCTCATAGATACTCTGCGATTGAACAATTCGAATTGATCATAATAGCCGTGTTCAGTAATTTAAATATCAGTTTCCTGTCCTACAAGTTCAAATTGCCCCGAGTGACCGACACTGACTAGAGAAATACAAGCTAACCCATTGATAGAGAAATCCTATTGACAACTGACTAGTCTTACTACCATTACAGTAGCTCATATTTGTTGGACACCTTCCTAGACATATTATGGCGCGACGACAACATCAATCAGTTTAAACAACGAAGGAACCAATTTACATGTATTCATTATCGGCACACAACAATATAAAAACCAACCCATAAAAGACTTGAGTTTATTTAATAAAAGGATCAACATGCGCGAAATCTACTGGCCCACGCGAAACGTTATACCACTAAATCCTGACAAATTGAGGGGATCAGGTATAAATATTTGACTCGACATTCCATATATCAATACACGCAAAAAGCATCCAACAAAAACATAAGAACTAATCCTATTGATTAGGTCGCTACTAAAAATGGCTACTAAAAATGGCTACTCAAGGGAAAGTTCGCAATCAATATCAATTTGTCAACAATCAACATCCAGTTCGGCAGTTACATCCTACTGCCCTTTTAGGGCTGCAGAGTTTGTTGTGCTCCCCCAGCAGAACAAGTAATTTTAGTCGAAAGAATTTCCTTCGATACTTGACGAGTAACAAAGATATAGTCTTTAAATAAATTTATCATCACAAGTGCACTAATCAAATTATGAAAGGCACCGAACAATGGGTGCTGCTCGGGTAATGGAATCGCGAAACTCGCAATGTTTATAATAATTAAAGCAAATGAAGCGAAAGTATTAAATAATAAATTTCCTGCTTCATACTTACGGTTACGAATAAACTTTGAATGGCTTTCAGAACGTTTGGCGGCCAACTTATGTATGAATGAGACCGAAAAGACAAAATTCGCGATGACGAAAATGATGGTACCGACGTTTGTTAAAGCACTTCTGGCATCGTTACTTCCAAGTCTAAGGTCGAAAACATACACGCTGTAAATCATATGGGGAATTACAAGTACAATTGGGCCGATATGACGAATTACGTGTAATGTCTTTGGTGAGACAATTGAAAAACCGCGAACTACTGCAACCGCTCGTTCAAACAATATCGAATAAAACGTGAATGAAGATATAATCCAGCCTAATGCACTTGTAAAATAAGTTGACTTGTCTTGTATTCCGGTATTTGAATTGCCAAATTTGTGAAAGACGCCGCAACGCAAGACGCAGAGCCAATCAAAAGAGTAGCGTAAAGAACACGGTTCTTTCTATATTCATGGAAGTCGGGGTCCGTAACAATCTTGAGAAAGCAATTTGACACCATCCCAGCAAAAACTCCCCCCATAGCGATACGTTGAGCCGTGATTAATGCGCACGCGGTAGCCATGACTAACGTCAGAGAAAGTATTGAACAAGGAGAAAGCAATCCCAGAGAGAAGAGAAACTGCGTTTGGTGCTGGTTGCAAAGGATGGTGAGCGCTTAATTCCGGCGAACATGGGTTGAAATAACCTTGGTCGTGAAAAAAAGGGGCATTATGGCAGATATTTGTCCGCTCTGTGATCCCTGAAGCCAGGAGCTGAATTGCGTATATCAATCAATACCTGGGCCCTTGGATGCAGATATCCCCTGACCCCTGTCATTCGTCACCGTGAGCGGTAGCAATTCATTCTGCAGAGAACTAAGTTGTCAATACTGAACAGTCGACATAAGTTTGATGTACTCACAAGTTAGTGTACCACTGTGACGGTCAGGGCATGTGTGAAAACAGGAAAAAGTATAGGGTTACTGCGCCGTATGATGATTGATGTAGTCTGCTGTTTTGTTCGAGGCCTCAAGTTACAGGGCAGGGGCAATACATTGTACAGACTTCCGCGCTCGTTTGACTAGCTGCAGCAGAGCTTCGGCCCCTTAACTTACAGTCCGTTGTTCGTTGTACTTCTGCCACCTATGTAGAGAGCACTTGTTCAATTTCTGCTGCTGCTCTATGTACCCTTCCTCGCAAATTCTCAGCATGAATGGAAGGTGAGAAAAGGGAACTGAAGTCAAAAATGCAACAATCAAGCTTGGAGTCGGGATTTGTTGGCTGGCACTCTTTAAATACAAAAATACTAGAAATACATTGAAAATATCCGAAAATATGAGTTCAACGAATAGCCACTAACCTATATATATATATTAGTCTGTCATAGACCTTACTTCAACTGCACGCTTTTGTCTGCCGTCCGAGTCCCTGACTTTTATTAAACTACATTTGATAACAATATATTGCTGCTTCTTCCAACCTAACAATCCAGATAACACTTCCACCCACAGTGGAGCGGTATTAGTTTCAATGTTGACTTTCCTAGTTGATTTTCATTTTTTGTCGCACTGCTGTTGATATTTCATCTAAGATTCCAATTTAGTATTCTGCCAATTTTCATTACAGTAACTCTACCAATAAAAATATTTCTTGTTGGGTAATTTAGATCAAAAACATTTGAGACTTCATCCAAACTGATTAGCATTTGGTTTCAGGTTAACACACCGCCGCACATAACAACAGCGGCGACGGAGTGACCGTGTTAGCTAGTATATCTGTGGTAACTGCAGCGGCAAGAAGTAGAGCTCGTTGGTCCGAATTCGTATCTAAAGCAATAGCATAAGAAAGGGGTTTCATTTTACAGTACAAATAAGCGATTACCTTTTGGAAATTCTATCACTAGTTCCAAGGATCCTAACATACTTTTCTGGAAAACACCCGCGAATGTCTTGCTGATGGAACCAACTTCGTCCCCAGTAGGCCTTTTTTGTCTAATGCGAAACTTTGAATCGCCACTAAAAAAGCAGTTGAATATCAGAGTAAGAAGAATAGAAAAAGAAGCATGGTGTGTCGCACGTACGATGTTCTATTTCCCGTAATCACATATAAAATTTCACTGTTGGAATCGCAAACTTTAAGACAGAGGCTCGTAAGATAAGACTCTCTGGCACACACCAGGAATGAAATACAAACTTCTAATTTCAATGGAGTTACGGGTTTTGATTTCTTCAAAAAATCCAACTGTTTCTGGTTTCATCTCTAACCGTCGGGCAAATCTATGAACTTTCCGTGACTTTTGGCCTTCGCTGGATATTGTGATTAGGTGTACAGACGCCATCTCAACTCCTTCTTGATTGAGGAACAGCAATCCACCATCCATATCTGTGACACCAGTTAATTCGTCTGAAATAAAATGCTGAAAATCAACAGACATACCGAGGCTTTTCTTTACAGATATAATTGGGACATTTGAAAATTTCATACGCCGACCGTCAGTCCCAAATACCTGACAATATTCGTGCTGCTTCCCCTGTTCAACTGGTCCAAATGCGAAACATCAGTCATCCTCATAAATTAGTGACACAAGTGTGCGAGGACATGACGGAGATAAAACTCACTAACTAGCTTGGGATAAAGCTCTAGGGCAGAAGATGCATTATACAGTGGATGATATGGTCCGCAGGCTGAAGAAGCTTTTGAAGATAACATGTCGATGATATCGAACCGTCAAAGCCTGGGTTGCCTAGGGTCCTCTTCGTTGGTGGTTAATTCAAAGTAGTGACCGTATTTGAAGTAGGGCGTCCGTAGAGCTGGGCGAATCACAGCGGAATCACAAGTAGGCGAAGTACATTCGGCTGAAGTTTTACGCCTCAAAGTACCCACTGAAGTTTACAGTGAGCGATATATTTCTAGGTTACAGACAACAGCACCGTAATTCAAAGCTAGTCATCAGCTGCAGCTAAGTGTAAAGCAAACTGCATGGATAGATTTAGAGCAAAGAAATTCCTAAGTGATTGTCACTTGTCTGATGCACTCAAAACACTGAATCATCAATGCCAAATTGCCGAGCAATGAAAAGGGTTGACAGGAAGATAAAACGCGGTGGCGGCTCGAGCTGCGGAGCGCGTGCCCGAACACTAACGTAAGGTCTAACGTTAGGCCGACGCCGAACTCGAACACAACTCCGAACGCAAACACGAACCCTAACACAGCATGGCCCCGACATCACCTGCGGAGCAGGAAATTTTTGAGAAGGCCGCGGAGCGGACTTCTCGAAGTAAGATAGATGCCTGCGGAGCAGGCCGCTACCTGGACAATAAATTTCATAGAGTTGGATCATAATAAACTGTATTTTCATATAATGTGACATAGTATAGGTTGCACTGACTATCCAACTTGCGAATTTTGAAGTTTCATCTCCGTTGTCCCAATTTATTCATTATTCCTCCTTTTTTCGCTTTCGAACTGGTTGACCTTTATCTTCCTTTTCCCAGCGTTCATGCTGTCTTTTTCGCCACTCTGAACGATATCGGGTTCCATGTCGCGCTCTGCATAAAACGGAAATGTTCGCTCTTTCCCTTTCCATTGTACTTCCCCAAATGGTATCTTTTCCCACTTCGCTCTATACCGTCAGCGCAAACTGAGACCTTATGCCCTTCGGACACATTACATCGACGACATGCATTACGGCGCCCAGACTGACGTCGGGCAGCAGGGATGGTAAATAATGTTGAAGGGGCTGCATTTGGGTACAGCAGCTCATGCGTGCGATCAACTGTATTTTCAATTTGTTGAGCATGCTGTTTCAATCCTTCTGCTGTTTTAGGAAGGCATTGCCCTTTGTAGAAGGTTATTTTGTTAATTTAAACTTATCTCCAAAATGTAACGTCAGTATGAGAACTTGCCGAAATGACCCGATTTGACCAGTCGAGTCCACACCATGGACGCTTCATTCCAGT